CGTTGACTGAGCTGGCTGGATGCTTATCTGGCAGTTTACTGGCCTGCATTTCATGACTTGAGTTACACAAAATACTTAATGGGTCGCTGCCAAGAGGAGGAGGAGGAGTGGGACTGAGACTTTCGAGTCAGGAGACTAACACTTTTCATTTTCATTGTAGATGTATGACAGTTTGCACAGTTGGTCTTTGTAATAGTTTTCTTATTCAAGCCTGTCGTGAAGTATGAAAATATTATCAGTAAATCTGACACACACACACACACACTCACACACACACACACACACACACACACACACACACACACACACTCATACACTCATACTCACACAAGCAGCTATCCTTATTCACACTTTGCATTGACTTCCATTCATTCTGGACGGCCGAACCAAAATCTTATCCCGAACATTAACCATATCATTACAAGTTCGTGCCTAACCCTAATTTTAACCTTACCACAATTCAACCCTAACCCATTTTACCTTTAACCTTAGCCAGGACCTCAGAAATTATATTTTGCCTCACAGGACCAGCCTCGTTCCTCATGACGTCTACTGGTCTGGACAAGGTCAGTGTTTATATTGGAAAAGGTCTTAAAGAGGTAACAAAACTAGTACACACACACACAAATGGCCAGGAGCTGTGATGCGTGCATAAGGTGCTGACGTCCCAGGTTTCTAAGGTTCACCTTGCCTTGTAATTACCTGGGAATCCACCAACGCTATCGCTCCATAATCACAACCCTCAACCTCTCTGCCTCAACCTCGACCTTCTCTCAGTTCTCTTGTTTTGACTACTCCTCTCTCTGTTTCTGTCTCACCATCTTTCCCTCTCTCATTAGCTCTCTTTCTGTTTATTCATTCGATTCTCTTTGTTCTAATCATCTCCGTCCTCACACTGGACAAGTTGTTTTCCACAGTCGTAACACAGGACGGTGACGTGCACAAAAAAAGCCCAGTATTGTCACTCCCCTTTTATCTCTTGTTTTCACACCTAATTGTCGCCTCATCTGTCTGAACAATGTTGTTGTTTATGGTCCTTGAGTTCACTACATCTCCATCTCCAGTCTCATTAGAATCCAATTGAATAAGAAAACACTGCTTGTGTCTGGAGCCAATAGCCTCTTAATGCTCACACTATTAGGCAGCATGTAATCAGCTAGGTTATTTCCATAAAACAAGTCATAAAGAGTTAGCTGTGAGAAGTAGCAGCTTCGGAGCAGAAGCCCTCCTGCTATTCACTGCCCCTCGCTGGATCTGGAAGGAAAGCTGTAGCCCACTACACTCCAGCAGCAAAAAAAAGCAGCCGCACACACCTTCAATGAGACGATTATGATCTCTGCCTCTCCCTTCTCCTCTCTGAAGCCTTCGCCAAAAGGCAAGAGGCAACAAGCACAATCCATCATTCATAAAGGGCCGAGTAAAGGAGGGGGGAGAAAAGGAGAGAAACAACAACAAACAGACTAGGCCTATTTAAGACAGAAGTGGCGCCATGGCAACCGATTGCTATCTAATTGCGATGTTCCACCCTTTAGTGTGCAGCTACAGTAACCACTAGCAACCGCAGCGGGAGAGAGAAAATATTAGAAAAGATGAGGGAGATTGTTTGAGTGAAGGTCAAAGAATGAACGTGACGGGGGAGAGAGAGGGACAATGGTTACACAACAACAAAAGGAACAGAAATAGACAAACAGTGATGGGAGAAGAAGTTGGAAGAAGTAAACTTTGCAAATACAAAAACTCTACAATCGGCGTAAACATCTCTCAGTATCTAGAAGCATTCTGTAAATGCTGTCATTTAACCTGTTGTCTCGCCGCAGCTCTACCACAGCAGCTACCTCTTACACTTAAAAGCTCTGCCGACCTACAAGGCAAAGCAACCGGCCTGAACTTGCTGCAGTATTGTTGCCCTCCCTCCACAAGTACAGGTTTGCACAGGGGCCCAAAGTGAGAGGTTAGAGAGGAAAAGGGGAAGTGGGAGAGTCCCTGCTGGGTCCGGGTGAGGAAGACAAACAGCTGAAAGACTCGGCTGCATCAGCTGGATTTCCCGGCACACTCCTGGACTCTCCTCGTCTCCACATGTTTGTTGTGCAGCTGGTTGCTGAGGCAGCACTATTGATAAATTACATCACTCGCTGCGAGTGTGTGTACAAGCTCGGTATCAGAAACTGTTTCTCTCCTGATGGTGTCATAGTGGTTTTATTGGGATGAAAAAAAGTCTTCAGCAGAAAACATCAAATGTCACATTGAAATACACAGACAATATTAACATTTAAAGTGGGTGTAATTTGCAGCAGCCAGTTTATCGTAATACAATCCTTCATTCTGTTGATTTCTTTCTTTTGGTCTTTGTGTTCCTCCAGGCCGGAGGCTCTCAGGTGATCTTCACCAACCCTCTGGAGATAGTGAAGATTCGTCTGCAGGTGGCAGGAGAGATCACCACGGGGCCAAGAGTCAGCGCCCTGTCTGTCATCAGGGACCTGGGTTTTTTTGGACTTTACAAGGTGGGAACCATTGTTGAGGTCGCGTAAAGATCATCACACACACAATGCAACTGGAGCTGTTTTCCCCTGTGTTGTAATACCTGCTGGGTGACCCTATTTCTGATCGACATTTTCTACCTACAGGACTGGAACGTGTGATTTAGTTTGATGTGATATGGTTGCACCAGAATTTTAACTAATAAACATTTTTTAAAACCTATATTCAGTAAGACTGAATTTTAGGCAGAAAATTGGAGATAATCTGTAATGTGTATTCAGTTGAATTTTAGATGACAATAGCGTTGAAACTTTGTCCACTATATGTGCTTGAGATTTTTTGCTCACGTCCTTTTTAAAATCAGAGAGTAGAGTTATGTCATTGGCGCAATTCAGAGATGCACAAAATAAACTATTCCTGCAATTTTCTCTGTTGTAAAATTATAACTGTTTGTCGCAGAGAGAAGGGACTCCATGTTCCTAAATGGAATACCCTATTGTCTGTCATCACTCTGCTGTCACTGTCTTTTACAGACTGAAAGTGCCCAAGAAAATGTTTTGTCACTGCCGCAACAGTTGCCGCCCATCAAGTATCCCAGGATCCCACTGTACACACACATATTTTGGAACTCAGTGTTCACTTTAGTTGAACTTTGGCTACTAACCGTTGTAGGATTCCAGTGTAGTGTGGGCACTGTCATGGCTCACACTGCTGCCTGTAGAAAACAGCTGCTCTCACCATACAGACATGGTGGTCATGTCTCTCTGTTTGTTTGTTTGCAGCAAGATTACACAAAAACAACTGAATGGATTTTCACAAAACTCTGTGAATGGATCTAGTATATGGGTCAGGGAGGAACCAAATGTTTTTTGTGGATCTGGATCAGGCTGCACATCCAGGAATTTTTTTAACATTGTGAGATTCTTTTCACCATTTTCCTAGAGTTGATTGATCTGAATGAAAAAAATCTGACATGTTTTGGGAGCTGATATCTGTGAGTGATAATAATAATATTAATAGCCATTTGCCCATTCACACACACATTCATACAGTGCATCAGTACATCACTCACACACACCGCCTGAACAGCCATCAGGAGGAAATTGCGGTTCAGTGTTTTGCCCCAGGACACTTTGCAGCACGAATGGTATCTAATCACAGACTTTCTGGTTAGTGGACAACCAGCTTTACCTCCTGAGCCACAACCGCCAGAATTGGTGCAGTTTCTTATTAGTTTGGAGAGAGAGTTCTTAAGAGAGAGGGCAGCAATGGAGAGGGCTGTCTGCTGCTGACATGGTTTAAAACATTGATTCTCAGCAGTTAAAATGTAAGACTGTGAAATTTCAATGAAATATTGAACATTGACCAAGATAATGATAGAAGAACTAAACACTGTACTCTGGAGAGCACCAGTTCTTTTCTTTGCTAAGCTAAGAAGCACAGATTGTTATTATATATATATATATATATATATATATATATAACCATAAATCCAAGTTAAATTAATCATCAGATTAAATCTAGACGTCCAGTATCCTTTCTATTGTATTTTTATCAACTTCACAACACTCCATTATTTCTCATTACTGTTGTGACTAAATTATATGTGATTTTTCTATTAACTATTGTACAATCAAACATATTACCTTACCCTACATCAGCTATCATTTAAATCAACAATTCCACACGATCTTCTCTTCAAGAACGAGAAAAGGCACAATTTATGCTAAAAGCTGTATTTAACCTTAATTGCCATAATTGGTATTTTTCATTGGCACAGGACTAAAAATTACAGTGCACTGTTTGAACATATTAGGCCTGTGTGATATTATGCACCAACACATAGTAAAGCAAGCGTGAAAGATTACAGTGTCACACTAATGTGGCAATATTGTTGTGTTGTTGCGTTTTTTTAAAGCCTATTTCCTGTATTTTCATAATCATTTTCCTAATAAATATTGTGACTCCTAACATCAGTCTGTTTTTACCAGTGCGGTCCACAGCCACAGTGTTTAAAAAAAAAAACTACTAACGACTGAAGAGCTGTAGGAATCAGTGGCTACCACTAATATTAGCGGCTTAACGGGCTACACAGGGACATTAGCCCTCAGGGTGAAACAGAGCCTAATTTAATTACAAAAATAAGTGCTGATGGAGCTTGGCAGGAGAGATTCTGCTCCGACTGTAAACACAATCAACTTTGAAAATGTCACACTCGTACCTGCGGTTGTGTTAATTTGACCCGTTTTGCTTAAGTTAGATGATGACACTTTGTCAAATTCCCAAGTGGTAAAAAGTTTTTCAATGAAGCCGTCCTTAATCAGGACTTCAATTTGAAAAGTCAGATTTTTGATTTTGACATTGAACACTTATTGATTGATGTTTTCCTGGAGTATCTGTGGAGGTTGTGTTAACACTGGTCATACAAATTCCATGTAAAGCTTTGCTTCTGTTAACGAGGCTGTAAAAGAATGTGGAGCCTCCTCTTGTCTGCGTCTACCTGCCTACCTGTTCCTGTGGCGGTGTGTTTGTGTGCTCACTCACAGCTATTTATGACTATGTAGGAGTGTGTGTGTCAGTGCGTGCACGCTCATGCACACGCTTCATTGCATTCATCTGCTGGTCTATGCGCAGAGAGGAGACAAAGTACATTGAGAAAGCAGTAGCGGTGTTGGTGGTGGCGGGGAGGTGGGGAGGAGACGAGCTCAAGCCTGCAAGCCCCAGACGGGCTGGCTCCGGAGGGGCTGCACCCAGGCACAGAGCTGCCTTTGTCAGGGTAATTATCCTGACGCTCACCCTCTGCTGGTGGAGCTACCGGTTGGTAGGGTGGCTAACGCACTAGCGCCACCATTCCTTGCAGGGTGGAAACTGTCATTGTACGAATATGGATCCAGAGGATGTTTAAAATATTTAAAGTCACCATACATAAAGTTCACTTGCACGTAGAAGTACATCAGAGGCATTTTAGCACATTCTTACTCAACAAAATAATTTCATCTTGGTGCAAAAGGATTCTAATACTCTATGGAGCTGCTCAGCAAGTGCCTCTTCTCTCAGTCGCTGTGACGCTTGCTCGTCTGTCCCACCTCGATAGAATCTCCCAGCTTTCAGCAGCTGCTCGGGCCCCGGTCAGTGAGCAGGAGGGACAGGCAGACAAGAAGTGCCAGAGGATAGAGAAAGAGATAGCCCAGGTATCTGCCAATCCTCTCTCTCTCTCGCTCTGTCTCTCTCTCTCTGTGTGTGTAGAGGAACCAAAGGATTATCCTTAGGAGTTAAATGAAGCCTGTCCAAAACGAGACCCTGCCCAGCTCATTAAACGCTTTCTGTTGACTGTACTCGCTGTATCAAGACGGTGGCAGCGTGCCAACAGGCTTGAAATACAGCAGGAAACTCAATAGTCTTGATGATACAGTGTTGTTTACTGTGGCAGACGAGGAGCCATCTTCCTCAGCCAGTCTGTCTTCCTCTGCTTTTCACACTCTTTTTTTTTTTTTTCCCTCCTGTCAGCTTTGCTTTTGGAGCCGTCTCCTCTCCCTCACCTGCAATTGACAACGCACAATGTTTGCTTATGGAGAGACGTGATTTCTGTTGCATGTTCTGATCAATAGTTCACTCTGTTATATAAGATCCATCCAGCAGACTTTTGGAAATAGTTAATGCTTGAATATCTGGTTTGTGATGTTGATGGTTTCACATCAGAAAAAACAACTTCAGAGCTCAGAGCCTGAAGTCAAGGCTTTGAATCCCCCCAACCTCCATCACTGTTTCTCTGCTCCCCTTTCTGCTGATTTCACTTCCAAATCAGATATGATGAACTGACATACCTCTGCTTCTCTGTCTTCAGGGTTCCAAGGCTTGTTTTCTGCGGGACATCCCCTTTTCAGCCATCTACTTCCCCTCTTACGCTCACATCAAGGCTTACCTCACTGAGGAGGATGGGAGGATAGGGCCAGCCAAGATGCTGTTTGCTGGAGCTCTGGCAGGTAAAAAGCTTTCATCTTTACTGCCTCGCTACACTAGCTGGCAAGGGCAAATTCATGCTTTCCTTATCCTTAAAAAAGAGTGGTCATAGAGCTCATACCTCCTAACACCCCATCTCAAAAAAGTTAAAAGTTTACCTGGATTCGCCTGTTTACCAGATGCACTTCAGAACTTCATGGGCTTTTCCTTCCTTCACAAAATTATATGAAAATCAGTAGTTTTCACATAAACCTGCTGCAAATATATACACACAGTTTATGTATAATCACATAATTGTCAATTCATAAAATATTAAAAGTAAATATTCCTTGGTTTATATTCTGGTAATCTTTAGACCCGAGAAGACAAGTAAACATTATTAATTTCTGTACTACAGGTTGCTCTATGCAGGGAGTCTATAGGAACATATGCTAATTATAATTGGATTCTTGCAGGTAGCATTAAACCTGAAACAGTCCAATGTGCAGAATGATTCAGAAAATATGAATGGCTTTGTCAGATTAAGACAATAATATAACCTCCTTTAGGATGAATTCTCTTTGTCCATGATGAAAAAAGATGCACTTATGATTATCAGGCTGTTACTGGCTGTATGGGATGTATCATGTTTTACCTAAATTAAATACTATCTATGTTATTAAAAAATGTGATGTTTCTACGATCAGTAGGCTTCATTTTCTCACTGAGCGTCACAGTCTCCGTTGAAGTGGCACAGCACTCCCTGGACTCTCTGTAGTGTGGAAAATAGATTTTAAATCTGTGGGGATAAGAGCATTAATAATCAAACAATATTGGAATGAGGAAAGAAAATGTTATTGGTTATATCTCATGATGCCAAGAACAGTTGTTACACAGTGCTATTCTTGGTAGCTTGTTTAGAGTCAACATAATCCCATGTTTCATTTTAATAACTTTGCCTTGTAGAGTGTCCACATGACTTTCTTGAAAATATCTGTAAATCCACATTGAGACAGAAATGTCAGCTTCAATCACTGACACAATGTGCAGAGCCGAGAACTTAATTAAATACAATCTTTGGCA